TAGGGTTATGGTTAGGGTCAGAGGTTAGGGTTACGGTAAGGGTTACGATAAGGGTTAGGGGTTAGGGTAAGGGTTAGGGTTAGGGGTTAGGGTAAGGGTTAAGGTCAGAGTTAGGGTAAGGGTTAGGAAGCTCCTGCCAATATTTTTATCCCCCTTTTTATACAGTGACATATTCTTACTTACAGGATTTCCTTCTAATTCAGGACCCCATTAAAAATGAAGCAAAAGGTGCGAAAGTTAATCGTTAATAATTGATTGCTTTCCCGGCTTACAGACAAATTTGGGGACTTCGAGGAAGAAAAGGGGGACAGGGGAATAAGAACCCCATATCCTAACTTCAACTTTAACCGTAACACTATATGGTATAAAATCAGCAGCAGATAACCCGTAAAATGTGTCTTATCGGAATATTGGTAGTAAGGTTTACACGATCGGGGCCCTGGGAAGCAGGCATATAACCGTAACCTTAACTTTAACCTAAACCAAACCTTAACTTTAAACATAATCCTAACTTTAATGGCATCCCTAACTCTAACCCTAACCCGAGAAAGAATTTAACCAAGCAACGCCTACTTAAATAGATATAGTAGCGAGTCTTGCATATGAAACCCACCCTGACTACACAGCGTATCCTTGCCCACTATCTATCATATCACAAAGTTCTCTAGACCGAATCCTGACCGTCATACACTCATGAATGTAGCGAAGGGCAATCTAATATACCGGTGTTCGTTATTCCCGTTTCCAACCGAAGAGTGCTTTCAGATAATAAAAAGTAAAGGTTTCGGACAGCGGAGAAACTACGAACTGCGAACAGAGCTTCGCATCTTTGAGCGTGTCTTGCTAAGCTCAAATCCACACCCATCGATCCACATTCTAAAATTACTCGTCAATTAGTGAAAGTCTTTTAAATCATCCTGTTGACCTAGATTTGATCTTTAATGGCTTATCGCCGTGAGTTAAGTTAATAGGTAAAACCCTTTCGCTGCGATCTCTAGGCTCTGGTTTCGTGTAGGAAGAGAACAAGAAAAACGCAAAGTGAGAGGATTAGTGTATTCTGTACGGAAGTAGTGGAGAATAGGTAGGAGGAACTTGCCTGTCGGACGAGTGGGGCAGTGTCCGAAGTGTCTCGGCGCGGCAGTCATCATGCGAGGCCCTGTGTGAGTCAGCCTCAGGGAGGTGCTTGGACAGATCGTATTGGGGAAGGCAGGCGTTGGTGTGTGCGCACTTGCTACCCACTGTGAGAGTTTGAGATTTGGCCCAGTTTGCGGCACCTGTGATTGGCCGTCCCAGAGGCGACCGAGAAATACATTCCCCTGACCTCATATGTGGCGTGGCACCGAAAGTGGAAGGCGCTATGGGCCCACTGGAGCCTTTCTTATCTTTCGAAACAGCCGAATTAGACACATTTGCCGTCTTCCAGAAATACCTTTTTTGACTTGGTGCGCTTTAGGCAGCCCAT